CCAGTCAGCTCATGTAGATAGAGTGGACAATGCCACGTCAGCAGTCGAGCCAGCTGGCGAGCGCAACATCATCAATGAAGACCAGTGGCACGCGCCACATCAGCAATGCAGACTAGTGGCAACGCCACATCAATATGCAATGTAGACCAGAGGCAGCGCCACATCAGCATCCAATGTAGACAAGAGGCAGCGCCACATCAGCACGCAATGTAGACTAGAGGCAGCACCACATCAGCATGCAATGCAAACCAAAGGCAGCGCCACATCAGCATGCCATGTAGATTAAAGGCAGTGCCACCTCAGCATGCCTGGCGCATAATGCAGAAAGCACCAACATGCTGTCGTCGTCGCTCACAACGTCGGCGTCCAGCCAGCGTCTCGCCAATACCTGGTCGAAGTTAAGCCAGCGTCCAAGCAGCATAGCAAGACTGAATGTCAAACGTCGTAGACCAGCTCTTAAGTAGCATTTGACGAAGCAGTTTGGGCTCCAGTCCCTTCCCTTCAGTCATCCAGATTGAATCACAATCGAGGGCCTCGACTATGTACAGTTGCAGACTCCCCCTTGGATCTGATGCTGTCTGGGTACCTGCATACGAGCAAATGTGTGTCTCTGACCGGCGGCCTGGGCTAGGTACCTTTGGACTTTGATTGTTGGTGTCACGACAGTTGCAAAAAGTCAATTGTCGCACGCTCAGGCCCTGAATTCTCATGTGGGGTCCTTTTCCCCCGTGTTGGCCTGAGCTGAGGGCGGCCAAGTGGGCCCTCGGATTTCCACGAGACATATGGCATAGGCTATTCCATTGCTATGAGTTCCATCGCAGAAAATACATCAATTCTCATTCAACCCACGTTCATATGCACCAACAATGTCAGGAGCAGTAGGTAAGAGTTCTTTCCTACTGGACCATCTGGCTTCTGAGGTCTTCCTCTGCCACCTGTAGAAAAATAGCCATTTTCCAATATCTTTTCAACTGCATAACCTCCATTTATTGAGGGTGGAAACATAGATGGCCCATTCGGAAAGTTATCACCTTCTACATAGGGTAGCAGCTTATACGCGTGGAAGACAGGGTATGTCCTTAGGTGTGGAGGTACATCGATGCGATATGAAGGTCCATCTGCATCTCCAATCACCTTGAGAACTTCCCAGGGGCCATAGTAGACAGGTAGCAGTTTTTTAGCCACATTTTCTTCTAAGGAAAACTCTTCAGACTTAAACCCAGACAAGATCTCCTTCTTAAAAATGTGAAGGACGACGATGTTTATTGGCTTGATCAATCATACGCAGTTGGGTTTTCTGTTTGTTTTCCTTCACCTTCTTAATGTGTTCTTCATACAATACTGCGAATTCACACGAACCTGGGGGTAGCGTCTGATTCTGGTCCCTTGTCAAATCGTCGATGGGACGCCTAGGCTTCCATCCTTTATGCAGTACATTGGGCGTTCTAACTGTAACAGTATGCATGCTGTTATTATAGGCACTGACAATTTTAGGCAAGTTCTCATCCCAATCGATCTGATCAGGTCCGACATACATTCGCAAAACTTGTTCGCAAAGACGGTTCATTTGCTCAAATTGGCCATTCGTTTCAGGATGCCTGCCTGACGACATGGTCAACATGGTCCCATAGACTTCCATCAACTTCTGCCATTCTAGACAAGTGAACCAAACATCTCTATCAGAAACGATGGCTTTTGGGAATCCTTACTCAGAGACCCATCACATTTGAAACTTTTGGATGACTAGCTCGGTTCTAGCTACAGCAGGCAAAGGAATGAACATAGCCCACTCAGAGAATCTATCTACGATAACCGTCATTTGACTGTTGCCATTCCGACTCTTAGTGAGACTCATAAAGTCAATAGAAATAAACTCACCTGGCTCACTTGGAATAGGAAGTGGTCACAGCAGTCCCATCAGATTCTCATGTGAAGGTTCGTTTCTTTGACAGATAAGACAAGTCCGCACATAGATTAGTACATATTCCTTCATTCCTTTCTATTCAAAACGTTATCGCACATCGGCATACATCTTCTTAAAAACAAAGTGACCTTCTCAATCATGGCATTCCCCAATGATTACACTCATGATTGGTTCTTGGCGAGGAATACACAATCGTTTTTCGGTTTGATCCAAATAGAAGAGTAAGTCGTCATTTTTTTGATATTCAAGGAACAGTTTAGGGTTCTTTCGTAAAGTCTCAATGATGGGACTCCAAATAGGATCACTCCCATAACCCTTGCGAATTTGTTCTTTTAGTTCGTTCTCGATATCGAGGAAAGAGACGATCCCAAAGAAATTTGCACACATGGTCAATGCGTTTGCGACCACGTTAGACTTACCTTTGATGGTTTTCACATCAAGTCAAACATATGCAAGAAAGCGGACCATCTTACCAACTTATCAGAGAGTTAAGGTTGACTCTTGATCCACTGCAAAGTAGAGTGATCAGAATAGGAAGTGAATGCCTCTCTAATAAGTAATGTTTCCAGGTATCTAGTGCAACAACTAAGGCATACAATTCCCTTTCATATGTGGAGTTGGCCACTTTCTCTGACGAAAGTCTTCTGGACATAAACTCAATAGGTCTATATCCCTTACCGTCATCTTGCTATAGCACAACCCCAATCCCATAGTGACCCGCGTCAGTCGTGAGGATGAAAGGAAGACAAGTGTCAACAATCTTTAAGACAGGGAAGCGAGTCACAACATGCTTTCACTTTTTGAACGATGACTCACAATCTTTGTCCCACAACCAAGGCTTTTCCTTTTTCAACAACTTTCTCATAGGATCAACTATCAAAGAGAAGTTTTTGACGAAGTTCCTCTAGTAGCTAGCAAGCCCTAGGAAAGATCTTAACTCAGTTAGAGTCTTTGGTTGTGGCCAATCCCGAATTGCTGTAATCTTCTTTTCTTCAGGCCTTAGTCCTTCCTCGTTTACTACATGCCCTAAGTACAAAACTTCAGGCTTAGCAAACTCAGACTTCTTCGCATTCAATTCAACTTTCCTGCCAACTTACGCTACGGCGCTTGCCATGCCTTTTGCGCAGCACTAAGAGGCAGCCAAAGTTGATTCGCTTAGTCTCTGAGGCTCCTCTTCGATCAAACTATCGCGAGCCTGCTGATTGACCAATGAGTTTGGAACTTCCAACTCTAAGGTGTTTCCATCATATAGCTTGAAGTTGCCATCACGCAACTCCTGCAAATCATTCTAGATGTTCTCGTGATCTTCTAGTGTTTTACTATACACTAAAATGCCATCGAGATATACCACTACGAACTGATCAAGCCATTGTCGAAATAATTCGTTTATTGACCTTTGGAAGGTTGCAGGCGCATTGGTCAAACTGGAAGGCATAACCACAAACTCGTAGTGACCATACCTGATTCCGAATTTCGTCTTATGTTGATCTTCAGGAGCCACCTCAATCTGGTGATACCCTGACTTCAGATCAATCTTACTGAAGTACCTGCAACCTTGCAATCGGTCCAACAAGTCATCAATGCGCGAAAGTGGTTCCACGTTTTTCACGATGACGCAGTTTAGCCCACGATAATCTATACATAAACGAAGTTCACCTTCCTTTTTGGGTACGAATAAGGCAGGCGCACCGTAAGGAGATGAGCTAGGGTGAATCCATCCTTTGTCAATAAGTTTTCGAACTTCCTCAAGTTCCTTGGGAGATATTCGATAAATGGGACTCTTGGGAATCTTGCTTCCGGGAATGATCTCGATCGTGTGCTTAATAGCACGCTTAGTGATTCCTGTCGACTCAGTCTGCAAGTCGTTGTACTCACCGAGAAGTTTTCCAATAGAAGGCGGATAGGATGAGAAACACTTACCGACTCGCTTGACAAGCACCATCATCACCTCCTGATCCAACTTTTTCATTACTACCATTGAATGAAAGGCTGGATAACTCATATAACAAAAAGACAAAGCGGAGTCAGAGCCAGACCTATGATATAATTTAATCGCATGTAGCTCGGACTTCTCGTCCTTGAGTTTGACAATTTTATCTTTGAACCTTACCTCTAGCTTGGCTTCCTCGTACCAATCCATTCCCAGAATCATATCAAACGATAGTTTTTTTTCTATTAGGAAGGATATCTTATGTAGGATCTTCTAACCTTCCTTTGTCTTGAAATAACATTTGACATGATCGACGTATTGAGATAGTAATCATGCTCTTGTCAGTCAGCACAGACGTGATAGGTGGAAGTAAATCGTTTACCTTCATTCCCAGATGCAATTTGCAAATTGCCTTCTCTGAGATATAAGACCGCGTCGATCGTGGATCTAACAGGGCACCAACTCGCGTGCGCGGAATCTCAATATCCGCAACCATCAACTCACCCTTAGCTTTCTTCGCCCATGAACTCTATAGTGCTACGACTTCATTGTCGAGCTCTTAAAAGAGAGTCGTCCAGTGAGACAGAACAGAGTACATTGTCAGAGCGTTCTAGACAACGGGGGGAAGAAGAGCCATCCTCTGCCTTGAGAGTCGAAAGGGTAGAAGGGGTTGTAGGCGCCTTACCTTCGTCTTCGTCTATACCTTAGGCGCCTTACCTTTGTCTTCGTCTATACCTTTTAACTCGGTAGGAGAAGATGCCACTCCTACTTGCTGCTCACTTTTGGGTTACGGAAGAGTGGACACCAGGTGATCACGTGCCCCACAGTGCCACACTTGAGACATTGGCGATTGTTCATTTTGGACTGCCACTCTTCTCGTGCCATCCCCATTTTTTTCCCAATGCTTCCCTTGCTCAATGTCGGGATGCTCAGGAAACGAGCGTGGCCTCCTCTTCTTTTATTGACTTTGGCCTCCCTTGTTTGCCACCACGGCAGTGCCATCACCCTTCCCAGATTCATTGTTGTCATTACCTCCTCCTCCCTCAGACTCATCGAGGGGTAACTTCTCCATAGTATCATCATCAAACACGACAAGCATATGGTCCTGGCGTTTTTGTCACCGAAGGACCCGCTTCCCATACCCACCAATCGGTTCTTACTTTACTACGGAAGCGTACGTACCTTTCACTTAAGCAGTCATCTGCTCTCGTTGGAGAGCGAGATCGCGAAATTGTCGATAGTCGTCCTTTCTAGACTTGGCTTCTGCCACGAGCTGTCCGCGAATGTTTAGGACCTTGTTGTCCTGCAAGTTCAACCTGGGTACCTGCAAAAGATGGTCAACCTTATGCGACAAAGCATCAACGAAAGTGCAACGTTTTAGGCCGATTGTAGTGAGTTCGTCGAAGGCCTTATCGGTCATCGTCTTATCAAGAAACCTCTCCTTTATCTTTTGGAGAAATTGATTAAGGTTCAGGGTCTCAGCCCACTCACCGATATCTTCGAAACCAGCGGCATCGACTTCAATCAGCACCCATTCCTTGGCCACTCCTTAACAAGACGTGGAGAAAGCGACCCGACTCTCAAGCTCGATGGGTGCAATCCCGACATACGTCTGAATTTCTGCGATCCACAACAACAGATTCTCATCTTTCTTGTTGTTGTATGTGAACGACAATTTCATCTTTACTTTTTCTTTCTTCGGCTTCTCCGCTTCTTTCACCGATTCTTCTTTCTTGGTAGGTTCCTCCTCAACCGGTCTCTCGGGTCTCTTTTTTAGAACTTTCAGACTTCTCCTGGGGTTCTTTCTTGCCTACCTCCCCCTTCGTCTCCTCCTCAGTTCCTATCTTATCCTTTCCTTTTAGGAGTCTGGTCACTGTCTCTAACGAGGCAGTGTTACGGTCAATCTTCTTTTCAAGAGAAACAAGGTAGATCATGATAGACTGAAGAATGGATGCAAGCTCACTGCCTACTTCCTCATAATGAAATATTTTCCTTAGTTCATCCATAATTTTTTCTTCTTCTTGCGCTTCTTGTAGTCTCAGAAATTCCTCAATCTTTCTTCTCTCTTCTCTAAGTGTGTTTTCTAATTGCCTAACACTCTCCTCCATTATCTCAACGAACAACTGTGGTTCTACCTTCGTTCTTTTTACTTCTTCTTTTTCTTTCCTTCCTTTCCTGTTCTATTTTGTCCAGATTCTCGGCGACATACCGGTCAAGGACTATTCGTCCGTGCTTTACGAGGTCCTCAACCTTCTTGTCGGTCTCTATTACTTAAACGGTTGTCTATGCGGCTTTCAATTCATCTTCTGCGGCACGCAGATTGAATTGGTCGTGGATCTGCTGTTCAATTTCTGATCCGGCGCCGTGTACCTCACCGAGAAACTGGTGGAGGAAGCCAATCAAAGTCTGCTTTCTTGTTCCAATTTGGCCTCGGGTCTTTAGTTCCCCCCCTTCTTCGTCGGCATAGACTATGAGGGATAGGGAAGAAAGAAGAGGAATGAACTGCGTTAAACCACTAGTACCTCCGAGCCTGTTTTTGCCCACCTTGAATTTCACTGCGCTCCGAGTTTGCCGAGCCTGGGTACCACTCCATTTCCTTTCTGGTAGTGTGAACCTCAGAAAAGAAGAAGGAAAAGTTGCGGTCGTGAACCTCAAAAAAGAAGAAGGGAAAAAAAAAGGAGACAAAGCTTTGGTCGTGATTGCAGTTGTATACATTCTTGGAACTGGTAGTGTGAGTGTGCCCTCAATGAGGGCATCTCAGCCCCGCGGCCAGGTTGTCCGATTCCAAAAAGAGAATAGAAGGGGGGAAAAACGGGCACATGGATCCGGCCGTGAAAATGGCTGGATACATTCCCCTAAGTGCTAGTGTGATGAGCCTTACAATCCTCTGACAAAACAAAGCTTGAGCAGATCACTGACAGCTGAGCGATTCACGGACAGGGAACTCATAAGAAACACACGACCAAGAAAAAAAACAAAACAGTAACATTCAGAATAGGACCGCCACCTTACCTGTAAGGTGCATTCTATGGAGGCAATGGGACATCATTGCAGTAGAGAAAGCTTTTGTTTTTCCCCTATAAAATTCAGATTTATCGGACATTGCAGACCCTGTGTCCCACCCCCGATTTCTTCGGGAACTGGCAAAACATTTTAATTTCCCAACACTAGCGGAGGTACTGGCGGTTTAAGATGGAGGCACGCAGACATTTCCAGAGGGAATTCATTTTAACCAGCGTGAATATGCCGCACAATAAATAAAATCAGAAGACAAGAATAAATTCCACGGCACACGCAACTTCTACAGCAAGAAGTGAGCAAGGCAAATACAAAGAAGCAGGTTACGAATCAATTTCTAAGTCCTAACATTGTTGTCTGTTCTTTGTGGTGACGTCCTACAGCTACAGGTACGGCAGCCACGGCGAGTGTGATCAAGACAACAACACACTTGTAAGTATAGACAGCAACCACAAACAATCAACAGGTGAGTAAGCCAACACGAGCACACAATCAATGGTTAGCTTCTTCTGTATCATCCGCGGAAGCAATGTAACCATCAACAATTGCACAATCTTTGCATGCCACGTGTCACCCCTGGCATGCCAATGCAGCAGTTCTGCCACATCAGTGTCAAGGACCGGAAAGGTCTACAAGGAGGGATGCCACGTCAGCAATGGAGGTCTGCCACACGATCAACACCGGCATACCACGTCGGCGCATCAACAGCAGGAAATTGCAGCATAGGCACGTGCCACATCAGACCATACCCTGCAACAATACCACATCACCATTCCGCATTATGCCACATAAATAATGCGCCACATCAGCCGTCCTGATCTCGTTCTAAACCAGCGCCACGTCAACCTGTTACCAACGAAGCTCTCGCTGCTATCTTGAAATCTTCAGTGCAGCCACATCATCATCTGCAAGGGACAGCTGCTCGCACGTGCAATACTACAATATCTAGACTTGCGGTATTTACCGCGAGCGTTAATAAACTCGTTTCGCTTTGCACATGTGCCACCTCCCACTTACCTGGGTGCCACGTCAGCACCTGACAGCAGACAGCAGATTGCGATGAAGGAGTTCGCTCCGATACCAAAGTGTAATGATCCAGTCTCGCAGATACTCAACAGTCATCAAACACCAGTGGTCTCGGTATCTGCAGCATAGTCTCCAATTATCGTGTAATGATATCTGAAACAATATCTCATTGCCATTAGACAAAGAGAGTGGAGGCGGATCAGACAGAGGAGAAGGTGGAAGAGATGATAGAAGACCACACAAGAGTAATCGCATCAACCCCACTCCTTCTCCGGGCTTCTTCCCTCTCCACGTCAACAACCAGTATATGATAACAAGTATAATAATCCTGATCACACAATAGTGTCACGTGGCACTCTTAGCTCGTGAAGACCATGAAGACACATCAGATTACAGTGACGACGTCAACCTCAGGTGAGTATCCGATCCCAATTATCCACAGATCCCAATCTTCCTCCTCCTCGCAACCAATCACCTCATGTAGATATCGTGGACAATGCCATGTCAGCAGTCGAGACAGTTGGCGAGCACCACATCATCAATGAAGACCAGTGGCACGTGCCACATCAACAATGTAGACTACTGGCTGCGCCACATCATCAATGAAGACCAGTGGCAGACGCCACATCAGCAATGTAGACTAGTGGCAGCGCCACATCAGCATGCAATGTAGACCAGAGGCAGCGCCACATCAGCATGCAATGTAGACCAGAGGCAGCGCCACATCAGCATGCAATGTAGACCAGA